AGTGTTGTGGTGATCATGGAGGTGTAAGTCAAGATGGGGGTTTGATCAGCCTAGCTCCCTGAGTAGCTAGCTATGACGAGTATAGTGATCTTGATGGTATATCATAAACAAGAAATACATTTGTGTTATAAGATAATGAGATTTTGGTGTGGTATGTTACTGTACATTGCCCTGTCCTGACACACACACTCAAGGTATGGCAATTGGCTTAACGTAACAGAATTGTATTTATCCTTCATTTGACAGTTGACTGTGATATTTGGCAGGCAGTCTTCTATATGACGGCTCAGGCATCCTCTTCCGTGTTGTGGCTTCAGTATTCCCCAGATGATAGACTTCTCTCCAAAGTTGTTTGAACCTGGCTGATTGAGAGATCAAGAGCGAAGCCTGGTGCAGGAGACTGTGGTGGCGATTCCCGACTGCCTAAGACAGTGGGAAGACCTTGCTGTGTCTCCGGGATAGGAGAGAATGACTTGTCGTGAGCATGGGGCACGCCACAATGTGCAGACTTTGAGCTCCACTGGATGCCCTGACTTGCTTCTCAGGTGTGCACAGTGCTGGCTTCCTGGACGCGTGGTCCCTGTGGTGGCTTGCACACAGCCTTGTGCTTGGAAGGGTTCAGTGGTCGGCTCTCACGGAGCATTCAGGGAGTTTTGAACAAGGGCCTCCACATTTTCATGTTGCTCTGGGCCCCACAGGTTATGTAGCTGGGCCTGCTTGTGGGTTCTACCCAGAACCTGTGCAGACAGAAGCCTGGGCTACAGATGGAATGTCGAAGAACTCACTGAAGGTTGTCTGAGAATTGCCTGTGTTTTTTAGCCTGTGGAGAGAAAATATTGTGAAAAAAATTTTTGTGTGCTTTTCTTCTCTGCACATTCTTGCTCATGACCATATATATATAGTCCATGTCATTCTCATTGCCTCAAGGAGAATTAAGGACTATAAAATCGGAAATGCAAAGAACAGTTGATTTGGGTTTTTTACTTTAAAAATATGCTGTGACAGTTGAGGGTCATCTTGGCTAGGAATGGAGTTCCAGAGCTGGAGAAGGCTCAGACTTGGAGGGGGTCTCTGTGAGGCTGGAGATTTGCTTTTCTCTACTGCCCCTTCAAAACTAGGGAAACTCATTCTTCCCTGGATCCTGACTAAAATCTCATTCCAAGCCCATATTGTTGTAGACTGTATTTTTATTTGGCGCCTCTCTCTGCAGGATTATACATTCAGGTCTTGATAAACGCCAGGTGTAGCCACAGGACTTACACACAAGTGGTGTGTGTCACTCCAGAGCAGGACCTTGAACAGCCAGCACGGGATTCCTGTTTTCTGTTCCCTCCGCAACGGGAGGCAGTGCCCCAGATGGTGACTACTCCGTGCTGGGGTCCCAAAGTGAACCACAGCCACAGTCGGGCTGCAGGTGATGTGCTCTAGAATGTAGGACACACGCGCGTTGCCTACTTCTGCACTGCCAGGCCGCTCTCCGACACTAGGGGCATTGTGGGCTTGTGTGGAAGAGTCATGGTCTAGCATCTCATTTCTATTGTTCCCTTAAGAGTTTTCTGTTTGGGGCGCCTGTGTGGCTCAGTTGGTTAAGCAACTGCCTTCGGCTCAGGTCATGATCCCAGGGTCCTGGGATCGAGTCCCACATCGGGCTCCCTGC